ATGGTGAGTTAACCAAATCCGAAAACTTCATGTCTATATCTTGTTATTAATCTAGGAATCACCTGCCAATTTGTTAACAAAGTTCTATCTGCAATATATATATTTTTTCATATAATGATATACTTAATTACTACTGCTAGAGTACAATGATCATGACTGGCCCCAACACTCATGGGTGGATGACCAATGGCTAATAAGCCAACATGGACATTTCTGGTCTGTATCCCATGAGCGGAGGGGACCATGTTATGAACATTGAACTTAATGATGATTTGATAAATTTATGTTTTGATAATTTTGATAACCTGCTTTAGAATACACCAATAAAACACACTGTCCTTACTACCAAACTTTCTATATGATACCTTAAATTAAGAAATAATTCTTCATTATACCATACAATTGTAAAATAAAGAAATATTAATATTGAATCTTCATGTACAGTGTTACCTTTAGGAGAGAACTAATATAGGCTATGCCTGTTGTTCCATCCTTTTTCATTTTGAAATGAAGTTTGTTGAAATCAAATCTACTGAAAATTTCAGAGTACAGTACTGTATATATACAACATGTCACAAATTGAACACAACATCATATGATAAATATCATTATGATAAAGCAAGTATAAATGAAAAACTTTGCGAATACGAGGAATGTCCATCAAAATCAAATGTGAAAATACATAGAAATCTCTTTTTGAAAAACGGTAAGTTTCTTACCTGGAAATATGGATCAAAGACAGCTGTTAAGATAATCGTGTACTTTATTTGTTGGTGTCAAAATTCATAGTAAAGACTTGGGCTTCGGTACAGATAATCTAAACAGGTTGTCCGGGGCAATCTGCATTTTGATTGGTTAATTAGCTGTCCACATTTATCTTGATCTGCTAAAGGTTAACGGACTCTTGCGTGGGTTTAGGAAAATGAAACAACTTTGTGGACAGGGTGACCGCCTGACAGATAGTTTAACCTTAGTGTCACAATCATGCCGTGAAACATTGGATGGACATACTCTCCACCGGTGAGACATTAACTGTTCATGGTTTAATTGTAGATCAGTAGAAGACACTTTCTCAATGACCTATCGGAATTAGATTATAAATTACTTCAGGATAAACTGCAAATAGAGCCGGTCCTGGTGTGGCCGTGGAAGGAGTAACTTGTTAAGCTCGATACTCGATACATGTTATCATTGTTGTAACTTGTGCTAATACTCAGGCCATACCTGTTATCATTGCTGTAACTTGTGCTAATACTCAGGCCATACCTGTTATCATTGCTGTAACTTGTGCTAATACTCAGGCCATACCTGTTATCATTGCTGTAACTTGTGCTAATACTCAGGCCATACCTGTTATCATTGTTGTTACTTGTGCTAATACTCAGGCCATACCTGTTATCATTGTTGTTACTTGTGCTAATACTCAGGCCATACCTGTTATCATTGTTGTTACTTGTGCTTATACTCAGGCTATACCTGTTATCATTGTTGTAACTTGTGCTAATACTCAGGCCATACCTGTTATCATTGCTGTAACTTGTGCTAATACTCAGGCCATACCTGTTATCATTGTTGTAACGTGTGCTAATACTCAGGCCATACCTGTTATCATTGTTGTAACTTGTGCTAATACTCAACATTTGTGAAAATTAAGAAAACATATAGAAAATACGTTCATATGAAAATGAGAGATTTTCACCATGAAAGAAACAATGAATTAAGTGAAATTGATAGGAAAAAGAACAAAAAAAAAAAAAAAAAAAAAATTCGTTTTCAAAAATTAAAAATTTCTCTTAAAAATAATTCCCAAGAGTTCAATAAGATGGAACCATGGTAACAAACGAATACAAAAATTTAGAGAATATCAAAGAGTTATTTAAAAATCTATATCAAGAAAATTTAAACTTTAGTGACCGACATTGACCTTGAAACTTTTAATTTGAAAGACATACCGAAACTCAGTCGGAAGTCTCTAGAAGGCAAAGTCTGTCGCAAAGAAGCAAGTCAGTTTTGGAAAAATATGAAAGTAATAAAAGCGCAGGAACTGATGGATTCAATGTTTCAATTTTTTCTGGAATAGTATTGGTAAATTTCTAGTGAGATCACTAAATTTTGACTTTTGAAAAGGTGAACTTTCAGTAACTCATCAGCAAGGAGTAATAACATGCATTTCAAAAAGTGATAAACCAAAACCAAAACATTCTCTGGAAAACTGGCGCCCAATATCATTACTGGATATGTCATATAAAATAGCATCAGGAGTTATCTCATACAGAATAAAAAAGGTTCTTGTTAAAATTTTTAGTGATGACCAGACTGGGTTTTTATCTAAAGTAGATGTAGTTGCTAGTCCACTGTGCTCATTTTGCAATTCGGAAAGGGAAACTGTAAATCACTTATTGTGGAATGCCAGGAAGTACAAAAAATCTACTACAAATTCTAGAAACACTCTTAGATGTTCTTTATATACCATTTTCAATCCAACAATTAATCCTTCCTATTTATTAATGAGAGAAGTCTGAATTTTATTGTTGATAATATAATCATTCTTATCATTAAACAATATATCAATAGAAGCATGTCTTAAGAAGTCTTTAAATGTCAATGCTTTAGTCAACAATATGAAAGAACAGAAGTATTTGACAAATAGTAAAAATGTCCTTTATCACTTTTTGAAGAAAACAATTAGAAATACCTGGAGTAAATGGGAAAACCTTTTGAACTTGATATCTTGACATTTTCGCTTTATTGTCCTTGATATTCCTTAAGTAAGGCATCAAACAAAATAACCCCCACATCTCACATCTCCAACCTTCTTCTCCCCTTCCCTGTAGGTTTGCAATGTCTAGTACTTTGCTGCTAGTTTATTTTCACTTTCATTTCTCAACACGTTAAATCCTGTAATATGCAAGCATGTAAATGAAGTATGATTTTGTATCCTATATTATATTAATTGTGTTAATTGTGTGTAAGCATGCATCTGTATGAATATCTATGTGTACATATCAATACTAAATGTGTGTAGTGTGTTTATATGTGAACCACTATAAAGATGTAAATCACTAAGTGGTTGTTACAGTAAACTGATTCGTTTTGTATGCTATAATGAGATAATATATATATATATATATGTATATAATTTAAAAAGATAAAAACTTTGTGTATCGTATATACAGAGAAAATTAATCACTAATCACCTGAAGATGGTCGCGAGGCCTGCAAACGTTAGTGATATATTTGTTTGTCATGTTAAGTGATTATTTCTCTCTCTCTCTCTCTCTCTCTCTCTCTCTCTCTCTCTCTCTCTCTCTATATATATATATATATATCTGTTGTAGTAGACCAGTTCGATTATCTAGTTGGACGTGCGCCTCGTGGAGTAAACGAAATGAATATGATTACATCTTTTAATCCAGGTGTATAGTGTTTGACTGATATATAGACCATGCTAGATATTGATACTTAATGTAATGTCTAGCGATAAGAGAGAAAAAAATACGCCAATCTCGAGCAGACAACAGTTGTACTTCCGGATCAATGTTAATGGGAATAGTCCACAAGGCAAATTCAAGCCGGTTTAAAAAAAATCTGATTTATCTCTGACCCATTTTTACGAAGGAGAGATATCACATATATGTTTTAGTGATACAGGGTAGTGTTATGTCTATAGAAATAGTGGACACACTGCATAAAGAGGTTTATTTATAATTTTTGTAAGTATTTTTAAGTTTGCTATAGTGTCGATATGAAAATATCTTTCCTAAATGTCGGTCATGTGGATTTTTCCAGCTCACTGTGGGTTTAGCTTGAGGAGATAATGATATATCAATCAGACACCTTTCCATGACTTAATATTTTTGGTTTGTTTTTGTTTTGTAGAAAAGAGACGAAAATTGATTGCGGTCCGACCCATATTTGCGTGGTATTTACACGTGCATGTTTCTCTTCTGATAATCCCACGAGAGGACACACTTGAGGAGGTAAAAATTGCATCGAGGATTCTTTAGCAAATGCCATTTATCATTATTATTACTATTTGTTTTAAATACAAAATCGCTCATTTTTATAAATATGTGCAATTTCCCGTATTGCACATTCTGGTGAAATAGTACACGGTCTATATCTGATTCGTAACATATCCATTGTGTCTATACCAACAGATTTATCAATATTTAAAGATATTGACATGTCAGTTATTAAATCAACCTGTATGTCCGAAATAATGGAGTATGTTCAAAGTTCTACTGTTGGTATTTCAATATCACTGTCATCAAAAGCAGACACGGAAATAAAGTGCGTAAGCTTTACCATCATTTGTCATATTGTAATGTACATTTCTAAATGGAGACATCAGTGTTTTCGATAAATCTTGGGCTATTTTACAAACGTTCGTGGTTTTAAATTTGAATATCGATCTACACCACAATTTAAATTCACGTAAAATATTTTTTGTCCTTTTCTTGAGATTATTCTCAAGAATATGATGTTTCCGGAAGTTTATTTTCCGAATTCCTCGTCGAAAGTTTCATAGTCGAATCCTCAGCTTTGTCGAGATATTGGAAAGTACATTATTTCACACGTCGGGGACTGGTAGTCGCTTATAAATATAATCATGTCGTTATTTGTCTCGTCGTTATCTTTCCGTTTCATATGCGTTGTTATTTGTCTTCTTCTGAGCTCTGTACTATCAGTCAACTCAGCAATTGTCGCTTTATGGGCATAAAGCTCGTGCGTTCTACACGCTCCGGTTTATTGATAGCGTCCAATAGATAAAAAGAGTCGAGGTTATCAGCTAACACAATAATATACAGTTAAGATGTCAATATATTGTATCACCAACAGTTTCGACCAGTTATGTTTCATTAAAATTATTTTCTACTGAATGTCGAAAGTAAGTCCAAAACGAGCTAATCATCTTGACGTCTGGGACTTCATTCGCAAAATAGACGTGAAAACGTAAATAAATTTTTATATAAATATATTGAGTATATTGTATGTAGATGTCGGAAGAAGTGAAACGAGTGGCAGTGATTGGTGCTGGCATATCTGGGCTATCTACTCTCACGAATCTTCTCTCATTGGACCGGAAGTACATCCCAACATGTTTTGAGAGAGGAAGTGACGTAGGTGGTGTATGGCAGTACAACGAAAATACACACACGGACGAGTACGGAATGCCCGTGTTTTCCAGCATATACCGTGATCTAATGTAAGAAAACTTTTCTGAATAACATACATTATTTTACTTCTAGTTTATTTTGGAAGCCATAAAACGTTACATTTGTTCGTCATTCTGTCATGCCATCAAGATTTCGTATTCTAATTTTCTCTCCAAATGGTATATTAATATAACTGTAATTTGATATTATATAATTTTAATTATTAAAAGCAGATCAGGTTTTTATTTGGTTATGGTCAACTTTATTAGTTTCCCAGATTTTTTATGATACACAAAACAGGAAGAATGGTATTGGAGAGTTCTGCTTACTCGACTGAGTGGGAAAAGACCAGACAAAGCTTCAGTTTCATTGCAGATCCTTTAGCGTTCTGCAGGCATAAAGTCAATTTTATTTCATCATATATTGTTTCTTACCTGATTCAGATTTTAGAGAACTTATAGATAATCTCTTCCAGCGAGTCAGTGAACTGTCACCGTCAGCCTTTAGTTTTGTGTTCGTAAACTGCAACAACTTAACTGCGCAAGCTCGAATTTAAACTCGTTTTTATCTGCCATATTAGGGCAAAGTTAGTTATTTTCACTAGTTAACAAAATGTATGTTTTTCATTTGGTGTTATTTCCAAAACGCTCCAACAAGGTGCCCTTTTGATTGGATTCTCATATAGATTGTTGCATTGCTTTGTTTCTTTATCTACATTGAATTGTATTATCATATCCCCTAGAAACAAAATTGTTAATTACCATAATACCATCTTCTTCGATTCTGTGTATGCTAGAATGAAGTATTTGATTATCTCATTGGCTAAAATGGACCAAGTTTAAAGAGAAACCCGGGAATGCATTTGTAAAGTTAGTTTAACAAAAATATGATAATAATAACAAACAAACAAAAAAAATAATAATAACAAAAAATAAAAATAATAAACAAACATTAACGATTATCAAAGTACACATGACGATACTGACTCAACTAGATATTGGATAATATAATATATATAAAGCTAATTTTAACGAGATGTTACCTTAAATGTATAATTTTTTCTTAAAAAGCTAACAAAATATCGAGTACAAAATTTCCACCCTTCAGTAAGTAACCATATAGATAGATTCAATGATAAAACCATAGCATCGTTGTTTCTTTATTTACATTGAATTGTATGATCATATCCCAACAAAATAGACAATGACAATAATACCATCGTCTTCAATTCTGTGTATGCTTTATTGGATTATTGGATTATCTCATTGACATGAAACAGAAGTAACTTACCAAAGCCAATGATGGAATTTCCGGACTTCCCAAATACGGATCCGGATAACGACTCGTCATTTATGCACAGGGAGGACGTTATGAACTATATTAAGCGTTACGCGGACCATCACGATCTCGGGAAATTTATCAGGGTAAATATTAATTATTAATTTTAATCTAAAATATCATACCGTACAAACGTTAAATTAAATCAAAAAATGAAAAAACATCCAATCCGAAAAAAAGTTGGAAAAGTTAAATTGTAGTATTGATGAAATAATTAAATATTTTTGTTCTATCAGACGCACACTTATGTGACCAACGTGTGTCCTAACAGTGAAGAGAGGTTTCCCGAATGGACTGTATCATATTACGACGTTCGGAATAAAGAACCACAACAAGATGTGTTTGATGCAGTATTCGTATGCACCGGGTAGCTATCATATTCCAATACTTACCTTTCTTCAAAATATACATTTGCTTAATACTCAAAACACTTTTACTGTCTTTGTGTAAACAATATTAACATTTTTTCGCTAACAATTACACTTTCGTTAAATATTTTATCGATTTTGAAATCATTTTATGTCAAAATCCAATATAATTTTCCATTTATTAAACATCCATGTTACCTATTCTCATACATTGCGACTATTTGATATTGAATGGTCGTTTTAATGTTTTTTACCATTTCTTTAAATAGCATGGTGTGTACGGCTGATTTCTGTGAATGGCGGCCATCTTTTTTTTTCTATCAGTTGCCTCTCGCACATTCTCTATAATGTTTATCGATGTTTTAGTGTTTTGTAATTTTTAATTAATTAAATCAACTAAATATATATACGAGTTCCTACTTTTCTATGCGGTATTAAATGTTACGAATTGCCATTTAATTTTTGTAAAACACGTTTTTAAGTGAATTTATTACAACCAGCATTACTCTTTTCGGAATCTCGATATTTCCTTTTCTGTATTAAGACATCATCATACACCATATATACCGGATATTGAAGGAGTGGAGGAGTTTCAAGGGGAGATCATCCACAGTAAGAATTATAGAATTCCTGAGAGGTTTACGAACAAGAGGGCCGTTATACTCGGAGCATCTTTCTCTGGAACTGATTTGGCTACCGGGATATCTCCATACGCAAAACAGGTATATTAACAAGTTTCAAATATCCTTTCATATACATTAGATCAATACAAGAACATTTAGATATTGTATTACGTTGGTTTCCATTCTAAAGACAAAAGGTAGAACACTAGCAACGTAGTAGCGATTTCACACAGATTTCCTTCATTTCTGTTTTGTAGCAAAAACAAACCTTCATGTAAACAAAATCTTAATTGAGACGCTAAACTGATACAACGATGACAGTTCATGAGAAAAGGAGCAAGATTAATGTACTAGAACTCTGATATATCTCAATGACATTATGATTGAGACGATAAAAAAATTCCCCTCACTCTTCAACAAGCTGCAAACTTGGAGAAAACATTTCTTTTACGTTTATACGCACGAAATTTATCGTGTTTATCGTACTGCTTGGTGGAGATAAAATGGAAATGGCTGGTTCTATATATCTCAAGGAAAAACACCTACTTAGTACTTTGACGATTTAGTTAGATGGAACATCAAATCGCCAGTAAGCATTTATTGCGATATTCTTTTAAATGTGCATATCATAACGGTAACCTTATCTTAGCCTTTTTGCGCTGAAAGAATTGCGCTAAGACATCATTGTGCTTAATATGACTGCGCTAACTTTTACTTCTTTCTACGGTTTATCATTGATGCGCCAAATAATTTATCCGTACATTATTAATGCGCATGTGTACTGAAAGTGATAAATAAAGTTGACAGTCAAGGTGATTATCAAGAAATGTATCCCTTACGAGTCAACAATAAACTGAATTTTTATAGATATTGTATTTTATGAAAGTAGTCGTTGAGCGTCTTCTATTTTTATTACAGATTTTCCTGAGCCATATAAAAGAGCGGTTGAAGTCAGTCTTTCCTGAAAACATCATTGAGAAACCTGGAATAAAGCGGATGACTCGTACATCTGTGGTATTCCTAGATGACACGGGAGAGGAAGTTGATGTTTTATTGTTTTGTACCGGATATAGTTACAACTTTCCATTTTTAAGTGATGACGTCATCAACGTTAATGGAAACAAAGTCATGCCTCTATATAAACACGTGGTACATGTAAACCATCCCAATTTATTGTTTGTTGGAATTCTTAAAAATGTTTCATACTTCATTGTGATAAATGTTTCATCGAAATTTGCTGTTGCTGTGTTAAATGGCGACATCAGTCTTCCGTCTGAAACGGATATGCAAAAAATTGTAGATGAATATTTTGAAAAAGGAAAGGAAAGAGGTGAAAAACCACATACTTTCCAAACCAATGACCAAATGTGGGAATTTGAACAAGATCTTTCGAAAATGGCAGGGATTCAGCCCTGTCCCAAAGCATTTGAATTGATTCGCGCATATCTGATACAAGAATGCACATACAACCTTACAACTATTCGAGATAAAAAGTTTAAAATTTCAGACGATAAGGAATCATTCCAGGTTCTTAATTAAGAAATTATAATAAGCCGCACAGAGGCGTGCATACCATTTTGTTTTCTATAAACAATGCCAAATTTGACACGATGATGCACGTTATTGTTTATATGATAATGTATATATCATTTTCAACAGTCGGTTTTATAACTTTAAAACTGGTACCGAATCCCACTGTACCTTTGTTACAAAAGAACAAGTGTATTATTGTACTACATACAAGTCAAACAATACACGCACTCAGACACGTGTATACAGATGTGTTACAATCGTCATCATCATGATAAATAATGATGTTCCATTACAGGGACCAACCAACCAAATGAGTTTACAAAGAAATTGCGCAATAAAAGGTGAATGGAATGGACAGATGTTATTACAACTTACCTATGCGTCATTCCACTAACAAATAAATACATTCAAAAAATTATTTACATAATATAGACTTCCGTATTCTGGAGTATATCACCAAAACTGCTACATTCTTTAACAAAAGTTTATGGTCTCATAAAACACTTGTTAATATCTTTGCAAAAAGGAGGGCCTTTTTCGAGAGGAGGGGGATGGAGACATTTTGAAATTGGATGAATTTAGCAGTAAGATTTCTGAATAGAAGAACAAGAAAACACAACCAGACTTAATTCATATAAAACAAAATTCATATCAAGATTATCTATAAATAATTACCTATCGGGATACATATCTGTTTTGGAACCTTTTTTCTGGGGCCCTTTCAGATATACTCAGGGATTATTTCAATCCTAGGATCTGGAAAGGTTTATAAAATGAGTATAAACTGACCCTATTATACCAGAGCTTTAATTTTAGAAAAATAGATTAAAGGTATTTTTAGAACCTTTAGAACTTTCCTGGTCGAGGACCAAGAAAAATTAGAATGTTCTTTTTTATCAATGAAGACTGAAGAAAAAAGTATAAGCACCGTCTTTATTGAAAACAAAATGGAAATAAAAATGATTTACTTTATATCTGGCTGTTGTTCCTTCCAATTTACATTTTGACTTTTTGTTTTTCTTCAGCTGTATGGAGTCTTATCAGCGGATACTTTAGATAAACCCGGATACGTTCACAGATAAATCAAATTATTCATGCAATATGATGTTTTACAGACGTAATATATCTGGAAACATACGATTTTCTTTTAATACGGATACAGTCTTTTGTAATTAAATGTCTGTCTCCGAGAAGTTGAAGTCGTTTCGTGTCCTTCTTACCAATATGAGCGGGAAATTTTGGAGTAGTGAATACAAATTATTTCATAGAAAATAAATATATTTGTGTAAGATGGTAGTTATTATTTAACTATGTGATATCAAAATTTTCGGAATTTCATTAGAAATGTGCTAAAATATGTGTGGCTCTATTGTAGTTACATGTAGATACAGGGATAACCTCTTTCTGTTTAAAGTCTTTGTCTGCCTAGGGCGTGGTTCCTGTTCTCGTGGTTTTATGTTTCCAGTATTGTGTCAATGTTTGGTCCTAGTTTAGTGAGAAAACCCTGTCCTTTAAAGCTGAACAGTATCTTGGTGTACTTATGCTAATACAATTAACTGCGATGCGAAAACATCGTTTGCTTCGTTAAATAGTATTCCGATATTGGACAATGGAAAAAGTGTGATCTTGTTTTTGTCAAAAGTAATTTTACATGTCATTAGAAATATCATCAATTATTTAGTTGTTCTTGTAAATAAAACTACAGTCTCTGAACATGTTACCATGCCAACATAAATTAACATTTGTAATTTGAGTAGATTGCGAGTGTGTGTAAAAGGGATGTTTCAAAATCAGCAGGGATCCAGACCTGTCCCGAAACATTGGAGTCGATAAGTGCATTTATCAAACACAAGATAATACACAACACTACAGAAAAAGATTCAAATTTCAAATGACAAGCAACCATTCAAAGTTTTAGTATTGATATAGAGTATGATGTTGTAACGCCTTCGTTTCATCATTTCATTATTCATCTCTAATGATCTGTAACGGTCTACGTCCGTTCTACGATATTTTGTAAACTTACTTCAAATTGATTGATTCGTTAAAGAATATTGTTAACGATTATAGTAGAAAACAGTATTTTAATATGGTTTTGCGTTGAAATGATCAATATGTATGTATATATACGAAGCCGCTGTGAGAACATGTAAGACTATAGGCAAGTTTGGCTTTTGTCTTAGATCCGGGACAGTTGATTGCAATCTATTGTGAAATGTGTTATTTATAGAAAACTTAAGAAAAAAACAATAAACATTATCAGATAAGATTTTGAAATGAAAGTGAAAAGTTTCTTCTAGATCTTGTGAGAAGCAAGTGATAAAAGGGACCGCTGTATTGCTCCATATTGGGGTTAAACTATTCACAGGATCGGGCGACGATTGACAGGATCAAAGAAGAAATGATCCTCATAAAGGTCTTTGTCGGAAGGTCACGTGATGAGCTAAGGACAGGTTGTGTAATGTGAGCTGTGAGAACTGTATATTTTTAATCAATTTCTGTGTTGAGATCGATAACCAAACTTTGCCATACATTAGTGTATGTACCATTGATACGAACTATCTGTGTGTTTCCATCCTACATTGACTTTTTGGAGTAATATTTGTGTTTTTGTCTACACCTATCACGTACAATGGCTACTCTACATTCAACGGACAGTGGTCACCAGGTACACGTACAACAGGTACAACAGGTAATAACATGTAATAGTGGTCAGCCAGGCGGAACATTGACAACAAACTCGTGCCCCTTCTCTAAAGAACAGGCTGAGCAGTATGCATCACCTCTTGTGAATGTTTCTGACAAACGTAAAACTTTCTGCAGTCCTGAATCGCCTAGTGTAACTGATTCCCTGCATGCCCCCAAAAAGTCCTAACCGGTCCTTCTGTTGCTTACACGATCCCCCAACTACCAACTATGCCGGGACTCCAAACCAGTTTAGGTTCAGGGGTTACCGTGGTCTTTCCAATATACTGACCAACCAAACTTTCATGAGCCAAATGATAAACGCAATTGTCCAACCAGTGGCAGTCCTTGTATCAAATGCACTACAGACTACTATAATGGAGCAAATAGTACCACAGATACAACAGGTTATTGACAACAGGTTAAATCACGATGTACTTTTTAATAGAATGGTCAACAACACAGTCGAACACATAGTCAAACCACACGAACACAAAATTTACGAGCTCGAAAAACGTATAACAGATCTCCAAGTATCAGACTCGGTCTCCAAAGATGCAATTGAAGAGCAAGAACAATATTCGCGAAGAACGAGTCTGAAATTTGTTTAATGTACCCCTCCCCGAGGACTCCGAAGGAGCGAAAGGATTTAACACGACCAAAGCTGTATTGAACATATGTAACAGTGGAGTTCATGCCAAAGTCCTCCCCGATGATCTGTCACATACTCACATCATCGGGAAATCTAGGAATGGTAAATGTACTATTACAGCCCGTTTCGTAAGTTATTATTGCCGGCAACGAGTCTACTCAAACAAGAAGAATTTGAAAGGTAATAAAAGAAAGCATTTTCATTACCGGAAGTCTTACAAGCAAAAGACAAAGTCTCGTGAACCGGCTGAACATCCTCCGTAAAACCGGCAAAATCAGTTCATTCTGGACCACAGACAGGCGTATCTTCGCAAAAGCACATGGTAACGACGCGGAAATTCTGACCAAAACCAATGACGATGTATCCCGCCTAGAATGAACATCAACTTCCGTTGATGACATTGATCATTCAATACTCTGTTTAATAAATATTGTTTTTTATCATAGAAGTTGTATGTACGCACCTATAAACGATGACATATATAGTATGTTAAACATGTTTGAATAAAATACTTAAATCAATTGAAGCTCACAACATTGACATTTTAGCTTAGTGAGTTTCGATTGTACTAAATCATATACTTTAGTTACATGCTTGAGATCTGTGTACATGTTCCTGCGTACTTACCCTTGTAATCATCATTGTTTTCTATCATTGATACAGTCGTCAGTGTTCCTGAAAGTTCCATGTCAGTTTCACTGTTCTACTGTCCTCACGGTAGATCATTTATCGTAAACTTGTACAAAACTTATACATGTACATATTTTCATGCTCAATGTGTCCATTATAAATGAAAACAATGTTTTACAACTATGTGTATTTACCACCTTAATATGAAACGTGTAAGTATATATGCCTCTTAATACAGGCAGCAAATAATACCAAACTTTTTAGCATACAATTGGTTGAAACAGAATACACAAAAATGTATACGGATGTGTAATCATAACAATAGGCTTACATCTAGCAACATACGAGCAACTGTTATATCTGCTTTGTACATGTTTGTGCACTGTGTGCGTGCATGATTGGGTGAATACGTGCGCATTCACGCACGTGTGGACGGGTGATGTTTAGATGAGCGAGCGGATAAATTTGTATAAGTGCATGTGTATACAATTATATTCAAGGGGTTTGCGCATGCGTGCTATTTGTACATACACAAGTGTTAATTATGTATATATCTGTGTCTATATGTAAATATTGTAAAACCTAATAGGATTGAATTTGCGTGTGTGTACACGTGCGTGTGATGGTGTGTGTGATGATGTGTGAGGGTGTGTGCATGAGTGTGTGTGCGTACGTGTTCTTGAGGTGTGTGCGTGTGGTGGCGGTGGTGTGTGTGTGCGTGTGTAAACGTACACATGTTGCATACGCAGGTGTCTATGTTAGTGCGTGCGTGAGTTGTCACGTATGTCTGTGGGCGTGGACATGTGTATATATGCGTGCACGTGTGTGTGTGTGTAAGGGTGTGTGTGAGTGTGATGGATGTATGTGTGTGAGAGAGAGAGAGAGGGTGTGTGTGTATATACCGAAAAGCTTTTTTTATTTCGCAGAAGTTACATTTCGCAACATGTATATGCGCGTTTTTCTATCAGTGCGCGAATTTCAAAACTCCGGCGAAATTGTGTTCATGGGTCAGCGTGTGTATGAATACCAAAGAACCCGT